CAGGTTTCAGCTTGTTAGGAGGAAGGGAATAACTTTCGGCCTAAAGGCCAAGGCCATTCTGAATTCACTTATATAACCACGGCCGGCTCCTAACGCGGCTGTACCTGGAGTAAGACAGGTCTCTGGGATCCTGTGACTAGCTGAAGCTGGGTGCACATTGGTGGTGGGCCCAGTGTGATGCTCGTGCAGGGCCTTTCGCGAGTGTCTGCTTCACTGACAGTCGTGAGTACGAGGAGAAGATGTTCTGAAATGGATGGTGGCGATAAGTGCTCACATCTCCTGAAGAGGAGTGAGTGCTTAAATGGTATGATATGCGAAGTCCACGTCAGTAAAAATATTCAACACAAAACCAACTGCTAACTTTCTAGTTGTCTGACAAGGACCGTGGCCTGCTCTTTATAATTTCATGCTGTTCTCTTAGGGAAAATTTCCCTGCTTTTTTTTTAACTCAGTCTTGCCCACAAGTTAAAACTTGAGAGATTTCTTAAGCTTATCAGGCTAGGAATGCTTCTCTGAAAGTAAGGTTACTTCATAGTCGTTTGTGGAACTACATTAGTATCGTTAGTGTAAGGAAGTCATCTGATCAAGGGCTAGTTGTGCAAGAAGTGCCTGACCTCATTTGATCAAATTTAATGTTAAAAACAAGAAGCAGAAAAAGGCAGGTCCATCGACACAAGACCTGTGCCTAAATGCTGCTGCCAGTTTCCCGAACAAGCCCCATTGGGTAACTGCTTCCACCACCACAGGGCAGGGCCTCATACAGGCTCAGGGTGATCCCTACTCTTTTACTTCTTAATGTGAGCCGCTGATTCACAATGGGGTGGGGTGAGTGCAGGTCAGGGCAGCGGCAGTTACATGGCTGAATGACCAAGAATGAGTGTGTTGACGCGCATGCTCAAGAGTATGCACGTTGGTGAAGGATGAAGTCCGGTCTCTTGTGGAGGAAGCTGCTGCAGTTTTAACTGGCTTTATTCTGAGTCTCTCTGAGGCAGAGAACGTTGGGAAAGAACTGACCGTTAAGGTTAGCAGGCAGCTTGGAGTTGGGGAAGGCTCTTTCCCAGCCAGGGGCCGCCACATTTGAAGGTTGGCGGCCCCCTTCCTTGGCTGTGCAAAGCTTCAGCTGAGGGACAGAGGAGTGGCTGAGAAGGGGCGGCCTGGAAAGATGAGGCCTGATTCCCATCCAAGACCCTGAGCAGAGACTGTAGCTGACCTGGGCGGCGCTGACCCAAAGGAGTAGGATAGAAGTGGAACTGGACATCTCTCCTCCTAGGTTCAGCTGGTAGCTCACAGAGCAAGATCCTAGGTCCCCACACTTTCCAGATTGGCATCTCTGGAGCGGGTTACAGAATATGTTCTCATAAGAACAAGCCACCACCCCCACCCACCCCACCCTCAGATGGGCAATCAGCTATCTGCTCCCATGATACTCGAAATGCTCCTTCCCTCAGTTCCTTGATTCTGCCTTGATCCTCAAATGCCTCTTCATCGCCTGGCTGGAAAGTTTGTGACCCACAGGCATTCGGCCTGGCGGCCCCCTGACCCCTTCATTTCCACTCTCTCCGCTGACCTCTGCCTCGTTTATAGTCCATCTCCCCCAGAGAGCTCTTATGGATGCCACCTTTCCACCTTGGGCCTTCACGTACTACACTGGCTGCCTGGGCACCCGTCCCTTCTTCAGCAAGGTTCTCAGCAGCTTCTTGACTTCTATTGAATCCCGCTCACTTCCTCCAGAAGGCAAAACATGATCCTCCCAACTGAGCCAGGCCCTTTGATTGATTCTCAAAGCATCTTGGGCTTCATTGTAGAACGAAACCCCTTTTCATAATTATCTTCCTTCTGGCTTCCCGAGGACCATATCCCAGGCACCTGGCAGGCAGGCACAGCAGCAGAGTGGGGGTGGGGTGACTTTTGATGAAAAGAGGGAACCGCCAACCTTCAAATGTCACCACAGGGATAATCAAAAGCTGATTGAGTGGTGGAGAGGCCTTGTGGCCAGGTGGGCATAAGCAGGTGCCCTGCTGGGGAAGAAGGGAGGCAAGCCAGACCTGGTGCACCCAACCCTTCATCCCTTAGTGACCCGACTATCACGCAGAGAAAGATCCCTGCTCAGAGCCCAAGGGACTGTTCTTGAGGCAGCTGGGTCAGACAGGAAGGGAGTTGAGTCCCAATTTAAGCAGGTCCATCTGTCTTCCTTCAAGCAGTTGTCGCAGGCCCTGTGGAGTACCTCACATACTGATGACAAGTGACTTCAGGTGTGTCCCACCAGGACCAGCAGACAGGAAACTCAGGAGACAGCTGTGTCTAAACAGCTGCAGCTCTCTCCATGACATTCGTGCACAATCACACCTGCCCCAGGCCTGATCAGAAGGGCCAGTTGAATTGCCCACTCTCCTTGCTCTGAATACAGGCGTGGTAGGTACAGTGGGCAGCAATTCTGTAAAATCTAGCAAAGTAAGGGGAAAGGAATTTGGTAGCCTTGCACAGTAGGACAGGAGCTCTTGTAGGCCCAGCACTTGGGAACCTCACAGACTCGAGGATTTCTGGGCCTGTGGTATTACTGTTGTGTAGATCAGTTCAGTGTCCAAGCCAGAAAAAGAAAAAAACCAAACCAAACCCACTGCTGGTGATAGTCTGCCTAACGCATCTTCTGGCAGAAGACGTGCAAGGAGGCTGGCTTCTCACAATAGGAAAAGTCGATCCCGACATTGCAGGCCACAGAGAGGGGAGGAGGTTTAAGATTCGTCGGAAAAGCTGTAGGGCTCAACGCGGAAGGACACGCACA